CCGTCCTTCCCCTGTCTTTCCTCCGTCCTTCCTCCATCCTTCCCCGTCCTTCCTCCATCCTTCCCCCGTCCTTCCCCCATCCTTTTTCTGTCCTTCCCCTGTCCTTCCTCCGTCCTTCCTCCATCCTTCCTCTGTCCTTCCCCCGTCCTTCCCCATCCTTCCCCCGTCCTTCCTGTCCTTCTCCCATCCTTCCTCTTTCCTTCCCCCATCCTTCCCCCGTCCTTCCTCCGTCCTTCCTCCATCCTTCCCCATCCTTCCTCCGTCCTTCCCCCGTCCTTCCTCTGTCCTTCCCCCATCCTTCCCCCGTCCTTCCCCTGTCTTTCCTCCGTCCTTCCTCCATCCTTCCCCATCCTTCCTCCGTCCTTCCCCCGTCCTTCCCGTCCTTCCCCCGTCTTTCCTCCATCCTCCCCCTGTCCTCCCCCCGTCCTTCCTCTTCAACTGCAGCCTCAGACACCCAGCCGTCTCCTGACCTCAAGTCCCTGCTGCCTCAGGGGCACCTTATACTCAGCATGTCCCAAACCCAAATCCTCGTTTTCCCACCAACGCTCCTCCCTTCCTCCTCGCCACTCGGATCCGAAGCCCAGGCTTCTAAGAGGCCTCACCCCTCCCCGCCCTCTGCATCCACTCACTACCCCCAGAGCTGGGAGTCCTCCTCCCTTTACCCGCCCACGGCCCGTGTCCCCTCCCCTCTGGGCTGACCCTGGGGGCTGCACGGTGCGTCTGCCACCGCTGGATGGGAATGCTGCAGCCTCGGAGCCTGTTTCTGCAGACACAGTCGCTCTGCCGGGAACGGCCGCCCCTCCTCGTCCGCCTGGCTCACTCCAGACTTGGCTTGGGCGCTGCTGCCTCTGGGAAGCCCTCCCTGACCCACTGGGCTGGAGGAAGTCTGTCGCAGGCATGACTGTCGGGCTGGCTTGGCGGTGTGTGCTTGGGGTCCTGGCTCCCAACTGACACTCGCCCCCCTGGCAGAGTGGCCACGCTGGCCCTGTTTGCGGGAGCGGCTGAGCCGCCTGGGGCCCGGGATGGGCTTTGTTAGTCATCTGGGAACCTTGCAGACCTCGGCGGTGTCTAGTGGAGGGGACGGCCACTCTCTCCAGGTGCCCATCGCGGCCTCTGAGGAGAGGCCTAGTAGTGGTCAGCCTCGATCCCCTTCCTGTCAGGCAGACCCCCAGACCCCGGCCTTGCGGACCCTCTGGGCCCTCCCCACGTCCTCACCGGGAGAAGGGAGGAGAACGTCCCTCCTGGCCATGGACGTCAGCTGCTTCTCACAGCCCTTCGCTGAGCCCCCGGGTTCTGTGGGCCAAACGAGGGCTGTTAGCACGCACCTGGGAGGACAGAGCATGTTGGTTAAGTGGCGCGCCCACAAGAAGGGCCTGACAGCCACGAGACGCTCAGAGGGTCCGTGTGGAGCCGCCCTGCCTCCAGCAGGGAAACCGAGACCCAGAAGGGGCAAGACCTGAGCGGAGCGACACGGCAGTCAGTGGCTCGGCTGGGACACCAGGCCCCTCCGTGGCTCCTGGGTAGGAGGGGCCCCAAGGAGCCTGTCAGGCCCTCATACTCCAGGCACCTGGGCAGATTTTGTAGCTCTGGGTCCAACGAAACGTCCTTGGTCCTCGTGCCCAGTGTTGGCCCAGAGAACCTTATGCTTCTGCTTATGGCTGTCTCCACAGCGGCAGCCCTGCTGGCCCTCCCGGCCTGGGGAGCAGGCCCTCCCGGCCAGCGTGAGCAGGCCC